GAAAATCATCTGGTGAACCACGTAATGTTACTTCAGGAATACCACACAATAAACAGCATCGGTATTTATAATAAGCTTTGACAGTATCCATTAATGTACAATCAAATACAGCTTGTTCAACTGGTGTTGTACCCGAAAAAGGAGTTGTCAAAAGTGTAGCCATATCTGTTTTCATATCATCTTTAATCAATCCACACATCAATCGAACAGCTCTTGACCAATCAATAGCAGGTACGGATTTATTACCGTATTTTGGTCGATCAGAATCTGGTATTCTAAGACTGTCAACAATCAATGTTAATTCTTTTTTTCCTTCATGTGACACCATTAAATGACGATATTTTTCAGCATTTTGATTGAGATGAATGCCAATACCCTGTGAAATAGCAACCCAAATGTCTTCGACACTCAATTCAAGCGGATAATGATCACAATAAGCTGCATAAATAGCACCGACAAAAGCATTTTTAATTCGATAATTACGACCATTAAGTTCAGCAGCTAAAGGATAATTAGTTTGAAAATTTTCGAGTGATAATTTTTCATCTTTTAATGCCCATCGGGCTAAATCAACGTCCGATAGTTGTTCGGTTTCAGTATGTCTTCTAGCACATGCATCGACATTAGCTACAGCAAATGTAATAGTTGCCATGTTTTATGCTAAAATCAAAACGATGAAATGATATCTGTTTCATATTGTTTTTATGTTATATTCAGATAAAAAAACTCACATGCATAAACCTTTATTCATGCGTAAAATTACTTCATCATTACTAAATGATTAGTCATATGATATTAAAAATACAATTAAATACGTGTATGAAGAAAAATAAGACACGTATGTATGCAAATGTATTCATGTTTCGCTATTAGTTAACGTGAATGCAATAGGACCTGAGCGAAGCGGTGGCTCTAATAGATGTCGCATCACAGCATTTAAATTTTATCTATATAGAAAAAAGTAGGAAAATTCTGAATAAAGTGTAATGTTCTATAACAAGA